AGCAGGGAGCCTGATGCGGGACTCGATCCAGGGACTCCAGGATCATGACCTGAGCCGAAGGCAGTCGCTTAACCAACTGAGCCACCCAGGCGCCCTGTATGGCCTTTTCTGACCTGCCTGTGGAAATCCTGTCATGTCGAGTCTGCTGTGCTCCTATAGGTTGAAGCCGACTCAAGGGAGGGGGCATAGACTGGTCCACCCTCCTCCATAGGACCAGTGTCAAAGAATATGTGGACATGTTTTAAAACATTGATGGAATCCTCGTGGAGAAAGATCCATTCTGCTGTATCAGGGACAGTGAGTCCAGCTAATTTTTGTGATGTGGGCATTATTATTGAATTTGGGTCTGTCTTGATGGCTGGGCTTGGGGCCACTCTGTGCTTCCACAGTACCTTACCCCTCTGGACCCTGTTGTCCCCACAATGTTCTGTGACCCTGGCTTATTTGTTTGTAGGCTCTCGGTCAACATCCTATTCCCAGCACTTAGCCTAGTGCCTTGAACATAATAGACGTTCAACACATACTCCCTGAATTGACCTTAATTAACTTAGTAAATGTCCTGCACATCCGGCACTCAGGTCAGCTTTTGCGTCCTTCAATTTTGTCCCTGGATACATGAACTTTGTGGGAATCCTAGGGAAGGCTTATTCTAAACAGAAACCAGCCTATGGAATATAGTGGCCCAAATGGATACGCCCCGTCCTGCTTCCAGCTGCTCATTGAGGGTCCCCCCCCACTCCCCCGGCCCGGTGTTTCACATGAGCCATTTTATAAATAACAAGGACCTTGCTGGAGCTTGGTTCATGCTAAGCAGTAAATGTATGCTACCTGTGGATAGAAGTCTGCCATTTGGGGAGGATAGACTGAAACTTCTCTTTTCATTTTAATTAGTCATCCCTTTGTCATGAATGGTGGATTCTGTAACATTCTATTGTCTACCGGGTGACTGTCCCGTCTCTTTCTGTTAAGGGCGGCATCTGATTCCAGTAGAGTGCACTGTGCAGGAACAAGGTGCAAGTTTCAGCGTGAGAGGCGGGTGCGCTCGTCCCGTCATGAAGGCAGTCTTACCACCTGCCTGGGAGTGAGAGCCACAGAGGGTTTGTCCGTTATGTCTCGGAAGTCTCTATGGGCTGAGAGACTGCGATGATAATCACCTGTGAATGGAGATCTGGTGGGGAGGCTCTGTCAGATGGCAGAGACCCGGCTCCTGGGAGGGGTTAATGGAGTTGAATTTCTTGCTCCTGGAAAACTTCCCAGTATCTTGTTTTACTATAAACATTGAGTCGCTGAATTGATAAGCGGCCTACTGATAGCAAGACTAGAGTAAACCCAGAAATTTTAAAACATTTTTTTTAAATTCAGAGAGATGGTGGTTACAGAGGGGCTTGAACTCATGACCCCGAGATCAAGAATCACATGCTCTCTGCCTGAGCCAACCAGGTGCCCCAAGCCGATCTATGCTACTAAGAAAATATCCACGGGGTGCCTGGGTGGCTCAGTCGTTAAGCGTCTGGGATCCTGGGATCGAGCCCCGCATTGGGCTCCCTGCTCTGTGGGAGGCCTGCTTCTCCCTCTCCCGCTCCCCCTGCTTGTGTTCCCTCTCTCTCTGTCAAATAAATAAAATCTTTAAAAAAAAAAAAAAAACAGTGGGGGAAAGGGTGGAAAATAACAAGCCATAGCAAGTCCTTATTTGTCAAAGATTTGTAAGCATTTCCGCTACATGCCTAATGTAAAAAAAAATTGTGTTTCACTTTGAGGTTCGTGGAATGAGCCAGCCTTGGGGAGTATGGTGTGTGGCCCGGTATACTCCTGGAATCCATGCACAAGACTCAGAACACTCTAGTAACCCCTCCCAGTGCCCTCAAGACAAAATACAAGGGGGTGATGAAGGCTAAATATACCTTGGTCCCCCTCACTCATTCCACTTGAGACCCCAAGTCCCACCAGGATAATGAGATCAGGAACCAATGGGAATGATTTCTTTCCTTTCCTTGGACCAGAGCCCATGGTAGGAATGAAGTGAAGCAACACAGTTCTTAAAAATAGACTCAAGGAATAATAGGTAAGAAGAGTCTTTGGTTGGGGTAAAACTCTGTAGCCACGATTTCTTCCTGTACCAATAAGCAGTATTTCAAATCTCCCCTGGGCCAGGCTTGCCTGGGGGAGACCTCAACTCTCCTGTCTCCGTTGCTGGCTTGTCGCAGAATCTGTGCCAGCTCCCATAATGGGGCCAAGTCTAGTAGGGCTCTAGGCCCTCATCAAAGGCCTTCTTCTCTCCGAAGCGAAGGATGGCTACTAAATGAATACAACCATTTTCGGGCGCCTGGGTGGCTCAGTTGGTTGGGCGACTGCCTTCGGCTCAGGTCATGATCCCGGAGTCCTGGGATCAAGTCCCACGTTGGGCTCCCTGCTCAGCGGGGGGTCTGCTTCTCCCTCTGACCCTCTTCCCTCTCACGCTCTCTGTCTCTCATTCTCTCTCTCTCTCAAATAAATAAATAAAATCTTTAAAAAAAATAAAATAAATGAATACAACAACTTTGATCCTGCAAGGATTCCAACGACTATAGCTTGTACCAGCAGCGTGTGTTCCTTTTCGGTCTCTCGTTCTAAGGGGTGGCCATTTCAGACAACAAACCCAGCAGAGCAGCTTCCCATCCCACTGTCTCGTACCTATAGCCCAATCCCCCTTCTGTTGCCTTCCAGCATGGGCATACATCCTACTGTCCTGCTTCTAGACACAGAGCAGTCCTGACCCCAACTATACAATCCTTTCCTTCCAGCGTATTTACTGCTTCTTTGTGCTCATGCTGTAATTTGTTTCTTCTTCAGTGAAGAACAAGAAGTCTGCTACCTCTTTTCTTCAAAGAAAAAAGATGAGCGGGAACAAATTCTCCCCAGACATCTCCCTCAGATCTTCTGTTCATTTCTAGCCCGCAACGAGCACCCCTTTTCTCCTCCTGTGTACTAGTGTGGGTTAACAGCAGTTAAGGATGACAGAGAGAAACCTAAATATATCCAGAACCTCGCAACACAAAGGACACCCCCACAGAGCGAGATCTAAAGTTGGTGTTGTGGGGCCAAGGGCATGCCCACTGCTCTGCTGCCTCACAGACTGGATTCCATCAGACACATGTTTCAGAATGAACAGTACTACCGCCAACTGGGGATGGGAGTCGGGGGGCGGGCGAGGAGCTTACGCTTGTGAAACCACCGCAAGGATCACTGTGTGCTCGGAAGGATTTGTGGCCCGGATCGACCTGCAACGAGAGAGCTCCAAGTCAAACCAGGTGATCTGGGCTTTGTTACAATGAACAAATGCGGAACTTCACATTGAAAAATGGCACAAAACCCAATCTTCCTCTCAAGAGAAAGTCTGAAAACACGTAAAGACAACAGAGAAAGATGCCCTTAAAGATTAGGACAATCTCTTTGTTTTTCCTTAAAAAAAAAAAGTTTTTTTTTTTTTTTAAACGCCTGGGCAGTTGTCCAATGGGTCAGATCTGCCAATTTTTCACTTCAAAAACTGGCAAATTCTACTTAAGTTCCATGTTTTCTGACTGAAATTCCACTCTGCAAAGAAACTGGCAGTCCTACAGCTCTCCGGTTATCAGTTTGTACTTAGGGAGCTAATTGCTTTGCATCTTTTTTTCTTTTAAAATAGTAGATAGCTCAGAAAGATGACCTTATATACTCGCTGGCCGCTGGACATACCAATTCAGGTTGAAACTCGTAAGAGCGATACAAAGAGCTGCCTAATTTGTTTTGGTCGTACTGTTTGTGCTGAAATGCTTTCAGCGAGTGGGCCACAAACTGGGGCTGAGCAATGCTGTGGTGCGGCCACTGTCCCTGCTGATCCCCGCTGTACCATGACCATCTGTGTGTTGTTTAGTCCGTAAGATTTTAATAGGATTGGACTACGTAAGGATCTAGAACTTTGAGGTCCATGCATCTTCTTACAACATGTGCTATTGTATGCCGCAGCTCTGATTCTGGATTATCCTGGTCAGGGCTCGTGAATGGAATGAACTATTAATAAAGGGCCACATACTTGAAGCTTAGTACAAATAAGCCTGCTTGTTTTGACCCATTTCCTCCATCTGGACTCTGTTTATTTTGAGATCCCTGGGAAGAGAACCATCATCTCTAAGAACAGAAGGCTCAAGGCTGCTCCTGAGTAATTTGTGAAACAACATGTATTTGTTGATCTTTCTAGCTATTGGCATTTCAGCTCTTCTGCACTACAACATATTTGTACTACTGCTCCCCTAGAAAAAGCCAGCTTGTATTGCTTCATTTCCTTCAACTCTCACATTTCTTGACCTTTCTCAAAAAAGGTACTTTCCCAATTTCCTATTCCTTGAGATCTCACTCTACGTGGGTGGGAGGTTCAGGAAAGTGACCAGCTCTCGTCTTCCTGGGAAGTACAGTTTCCTATGGTAGATAAATGGTGTTTGAACAAACTCCTTAAGTTCAATGCCTTAACTCACTGTGGGACAGGTAGAGTAAGTCAAGACCTCCTATTAAGGCTAGCACAGACTACTTCCTATTCAGCCACCCCACAGCACAGGTCTTGATGAGGCCAAGGTACCATTTTTTTTTTTTTACCTAAGAGTCTACTGAATTCTCAGCAGAAATACCAGTTACCACCTAATGAAAAAAATGCATAGCAAGTCCGAGGTGCACCCTATTGTCTAGGGAAATACTAAGCACTTCTCAGCCTTGTGCAATCTCTTCCACCCCAATGAGAAGTCAAGGCTACACTGCAAGGCTACGTTCTAAGGAGTGGGCCTCAAGAGGTGCAAACACTGTTAAGAACGTAACTGGGCTAGAGCCCATGCTCCCTTAGCTTCTTTTGAAACTGGCTTTCATTTTGGGGGTTGCTTCTTGCTGCTTATCTCTTCTTTCTCATTCCTCCAAAGGAACTGGTATAGCCAGGGAGACCCAGACCTCTTCCTGGTGGAGAGGACGAAGGGGAACTGCAATCGGTGGGGTAGAGGTCCAAGGAAGCATGTTAAGGTCCAGTCTAGCTCAAACATCCAGGGATCTTGGACCATGGATGACAGTAATGAATGTACATCTGCCAAGAGCGTGTCCCTTACTCATTTTAGGGGGACATGTACTGGCAGTCGTGCATTCAGGAATCTGGCTGCCCTGAACATAACAAGTAAGAGTCGGTAAACACGGCCCCTGATACACAACCTGGCTTCTGACCTACACAGATCCCCCACTGTTTTTCTGTGCAGCTAAGACAGAAGTACATTAGATAAAAAAACTAAATTTCTTTATATTCAAGGAAGATTATAAAGCTTATCTGCTAAATTTCTTCACCTGAATAAAAAGAATTTATTTTTACACCTGAATCTTGTCTTAAATCATTCCATGTATGCACAAAGGACAGTGGTGTTTCTACTACAAAATCATTTAAGAAAATTAAGTCAAGACCAAGAAAAAGTAGATCTAGTTATAAAGGACCGAATTCTATCCTGTAGATCATTTAAAAAGAAAAAGTATTTTTTTCTTAGTATTTCTTACTAAATATTTAGTATTTATTTTCTTAATACTGAGAGTACCATCCAAATATTTTATGATACATTTATTTGTATCTATAATAATTTAAAAAGAAAATATTTCTATGCACAATAGTAAGATTATTTGAGGCCAGTAAGACATTTTAAAATAGGTTCTGTGAGAAAAATTCTTCTTTGAGAAACTGAGAAGGATCAAAGAATAACAAGGCAATGCCTATGATGAGAAATGTCTCTTAATCCAATCATTTCTTGTCAGGGTGCCAAAGGATCTAAGAAGCCACTTCCTTACCTTTCATTTCACTTACTAATATTCAAGAAAATTCCAGCTCCATATGTAATTGGAGTCTGTGCTGGTCTAGCATTTAATTAGTGACCTCTTGCTGTCTAGCTTCAAAGCATTCCACTTGTGCTAAATGGATCAGTTCATCCACAGAAAACTCTTATGACTGCATTTATTTATGAACAGGCATGCATTTTTCCCCCTGGAGTGCAAGCATTTCTGTAAACAAGTGGGGCGTTTGGATCCCTGGAAGATTTTCCGCTGAGGTAAAGTAGCTGCTTGTGCTCCCCAACCACTGTAGAATCTACCCATCTGTGTCAGGCAGGGAGACATGTGTATTTCACACATTTCCGATGTTCATTTTGGGACAGAATAATTAAGATTAAAATATCTGGTTTAAATCCAAACCCCATCTGTATAACAAAAACTGTGTGAATTTCAATGTCTCTTGCGTGCGTGTGTGTGTGTGTGTGTGTGTGTGTGTGTGTGTGAGAAATATGAGCAATACTTGGGGGGAAAAACACCTTGACATTTTCAGAGACACCCAGCTCACACCTCTAAATTCACTGGAACTCAAATGTGGAAAAACAGAAAGGGTGAAATAAATCTATAGGAGGAGCTATAGCTTTCATCACAGAAATCTGCACAGACTGCTTAGACGCATCAACACACATTTTAGAAATACTTGGGATGGAACTAAAGACATCTCTAAGTGACGGTCATTTTAGGCTATTAAGTGAACGTTTAACGAGCATGTTACATTAGGAAAGGTACCTGCACACCGCTTCTGCATCAAAGTTTCGAGTTTGTCTGTGATCTATTACGATAATTTCATGATGTTTATCTAGAAAGCATTCAAGGGCTGACTCTGGAGTCCGAGCAATATTGCATCTATAACCAGCTCTGTCACAGGCCCACCAGAATCCATCACTCTGACTATCTTCCTTTGCAAAGATCAGCAAAACCTGAAATACAAAAGAGATCTTAGAAGCAATCATCATCCTTACAGACTGTATTAAACATGAGCCTACGGTATACAGGTTTAAAATGCGGCGTCTAGAGAGGAACTACCTGGGTTCAAACCCCAGCTCCTCCAACTGATTCCAGTGTGTGTCTTTGAGCAAGGTATTTCATCCCTTTGTGCTATAGATTCTCCACGGTCAGATGCGCCACCCTAGCTAGCTGTGAGACCTACATGAGCACGAGTAGGTGCTCAGTCATTCTGGGGGGGGGGGGTTGTTACTCATTTTTAATTCCCAATTGGCTTTGTTGTTAAGTATATTAAGCAGTGAAATTATTAACAGGATAATTAACACAGCTGGGACTATGGTTCTCACATACACGTGTTTGGTTTCAGGGCAGGTGGTGTCGGCCTCTCAGTACCTGGAGGTCAACTCTCTGATCTTAGTAATTAAATCCCTTTAAAGACACAGGAAAGAGAAGGAACTCAAAGGAATTTCAAACACTAATTTTAATACCCAACCCATGCTGGAATCTGGAAAGAATGACCATGCAAGGAGAAGGTGATGCAGCTAAACTGAGGAAAACCTGTCCCTTCTTGCCTCATTGAGAAGTGTGGCCCCACTGGAAAGAAGGTACCAGACTTCACCCTGGTCGCCCTCACCAGCCCCTGGGCTCCAGCGCCCAATTCTCTGGCGGAAAGCCAGAGACAGCCTTACCACCACCTGAACTGGTTCATTTATTTGCTTGATCATGATCTATTTTCTCCACTGGGACTGAGCTTCAGGACCACAAAGAACTGCCTGCTATGTTCCCTATTACCCCCACCCCCACTGCTGTGCTCAGCACCAAGCTGCCACTTACTAGCTGCTCAGCAAATATCTGGTGAGGTAAAGGTTAACTACCTGTAGAGTTTCCTACAAAACACAAAAAGGGTTTTACTATTATTACAAATAAGAGGTCCAATAGAAACACCTAATTATCTCAAGACATGGATAAAGCGTTGAATGTTCTTGAGCATCCACTCCTAAAGAATTAGCGACAGAAGGGTTTTTTTTTTTTCCTCAACAAGAAAGGCCTTTAAACCAATAACCAGTATCATTCTTTTCTTTTTTAAAGATTTTATTTATTTGTCAGAGAGAGAGAGAGAGAGAGAAAGAGAGACCATGAGTGGGGAAGAGGAGCAGAACGAGAGGGAAAAGCAGGCTCCCGGAGCCTGATGCGGAACTCGATCCCAGGACCCTGGGATCATGACCTGAGCTGAAGGCAGACGCTTAACCAACTGAGCCACCCAGGCGTTCCAACCAGTATCATTTTGATGATGAAATATAAAATGTGTTTCATTTAAATTCAGAAAGACAAACTGTCCAACTATTATATTTTCAAAATGTTTTATTAATTGAGAATTGGCAATATACTGAAAAATAGACACAACAGTCTAATAAGCCTAATGCACCCATCTCCCGGCTTCAGCAATAAACCAACTCCGGGCCAGTCTGGCTGCATTTCCATCCCTGCCCACTTCTCGACTCCGACATTAGTTTGCAGCAAAGTCTGCATATCACATCATTTCAACTGCACGAATCTACTGAAGATAAAGACTGTTTAGGGGTGCCTGGGGGGCTCAGTCGGTTAAGCATCAGCCTTCGGCTCAGGTCATGATCCCAGGGTTCTGGGATCAAGCCCCACGTTGGGCTCCCTGCTCGGCGGGAAGCCTGCTTCTCCCTCTCCCTCTGCCTGCTCGCCCTGCTTGTGCTCTCTGACAAATAAATAAAATCTTAAAAACAAAACAAAACAAAAACCACAATACCATTTGGGGGTGGGCAGCAAAGCAACACTTATTGAGCAATAGCAAAGTGATAGGACAAAGCTCCCAAGGAGGGAGGGGACCCAAGGGGGTTGCCCCCACAATACCATTTCAAACCTAAACTTCCCCAATAGCTCAACATCTTAAATATCTGAATATATCATAAATGTCATTTGTTTTACATTTGTTTAAATCATTTCCTGTTTCCCAAATGCTACATTTCCAGAAGAGATATTTTTCAACAGGATTTTGCCATTTTCTTCTTAGCACATGGCTTAAAATCATACCCTTGTAACACACAAGGCAGCCAGCCAGACTTATTAAGAGCTCCTCTTGGTCTGTCACTCCTCTGCCCAGAGAGTGTTTCTAAGAGTTTTTGACCAAAGAGCTAACTTCTAGGAAGAAGTGAGAGTGGCTCTTCCAAGGGAATTGAAGGGCATCGCCCTGTGGATTTGATAATGAAAAGAAAGCCTTCAGATCAAATAAGAGAGCTACAATGAAAAAGTCAGGTAGCATCAATTGGTTTGTGTGTAAAGTCATTGGCCCTCTACTTGGGGTAGCTATGGTATTAACAAGAAAAACTCCATATACAGAGCCTCAAAGTCAGCAAAGGTGAGAGAATTTCTTCTGTCATCTGGCTGGCTAAATGAGGGATTGCTAAACAAGAATCTCACCACTTTATGTTTCCTTTACACTATTTGGCCTCAATAATTGACTAATACAGTAAGAACATGATCGTATTCCCATGTTGGACATTGCTACATATTAATCTCATATACCTTATGCATCCTCTGAAGAGAGTGTACCACTTTTGGAAAAATAATATTATTGAACAAAAATTTCCCAAGCACCTGTTATGTTCCAGGAACTGTTTTGAGTTGCTTAGAGTACACTGATGAACAGAGTAAAGACCCCCCGCACTGGAGAGGGACCAACAGCATGCATAATAAGCAAGCAAACGACACAGCATGTTAAAAGCAGTACATGCTACCTACAAACAGGAAGCGGTAAGCAGGAGCCGGAGTGGGTACCGACTGCTGCATTAAGTGGGTAGGCCTCACTCACAAAGTAACAGATGCAAACGAAAAGGGAGGAAACAAAAAGGAAGCCTAATTGCTATCTGAGGGGCAAGTATTCGTAGCCGAAGGAATGGTTCTATGGGCCCCTACAGTCAGACGTGTGCCTGACGCGTTCGAGGAACTATAAGGAAGCCTGTGTGACAGAGGGGAGGGTGACAGGGAAAGTCTAGTTCACAGCAGAGGGTTACATCAAGGTAAGGCCATTTCAGGAACTTAAACTAGATTTCACATGAAAACTCACAACCGACTCAAAGGGAGAAACTCTCTTCATCGGGTCTTGTTATTTTTCTGTAGTTCTGATGCTTTGACATCTGGAGCCTTGCCGACCCTGCGGAGACTGCTTCTGAGGGTTGGCCAATTTGTAGAGGTAGCAGGAGACTTGCCTAGGAAAGCACCCTTCGAAGGCAAACCAATCCAAAGCCCTTACTCCTACCCCATCTTTTATCATGCCTTAATGCATGGAACCACTCTCCACCTGCCCTCATCACTCCAGGGCCAAGTACCAACCAACTAGAGACAACAGCTATACCCCAGATTCCCCTGAAATGATTCATACTAGCCAAACCTGCTTACCCTCCCTTACCCATTCCTTCCCACAGAAGCCACAGGGGAGGCTCTTGGCCATATTTTCCCCTTGCTCTCTCTGCCTCCTGACCAACCCTGGTGCTCTGTGTGTGGTCCTTTAGGGCAAGGCATGGCCCCTCCTCTCAGTGACAGACTGTTTAATCATAGTCCTTTCCTGATCGGTCGGCCTCACCGTACCCGAATAATAACATCTACATTTTAGAACAGGACTATATTATAAAAGTACTCATGAGAGAATTTCTTTAGGTAGTATTTAAAATTCTTCCCATTTAAGGCTGATGTATGGAACTTTTAAATTACTATACTGTACACTGGAAACGAATCTAACACTGGTTGTTAACTAACTGGAATTAAAGTAAAAATTTTAAAAATAATATTCTTCCCATCTATAAAAAAAAATCAGAAAAACTAGTTTTCAATAATTCAACTCCTAAGTGAAAAAGCTACAGGAATTAAAAATATATACATTTTAAAGTACTATAGTAATTACCCTTTTTGGATGTAACCAGGCTTGGACTCTCCGTCCCTATCTCCCAGCACAGCTGGGCTAATGATACTCTGTTTACAGAAATTTGGAATTTGAACAAAAGAGACACAAAAGCTGGGAATTGAGACCTGTGGTTCGGTGATCGTAGAGGCAATAAAAGCCTTCAACTCTTGCTGTCAAAGTACTCAGACAGTCCACAGCCACACTCTGTAAGGCACAGCTTCTCAATTCCTCCTTCAAATCTACAAAGAAAGGGGCGCCTGTGTGGCTCAGTCGTTAAGTGTCTGCCTTTGGCTCAGGTCATGATCCC